CAATGGCCACAACAACCCCCAGCAGCGCTACAGGCTTGGGGAGATGTGGCTGGAGAGCTGCCAGTCAGAGAGGGACCTGGGGGGGTGATTGACAGCCGGCTGAACAGGAGCCAGCAGTGTGCCCAGGGGGCCAAGAAGGCCAACGGCATCCTGGCTTGTGTCAGCAATAGCGTGGCCAGCAGGGACAGGGAAGGGATCTTACCCCTGTACTCAGCACTGGTGAGGCTGCACCTCGATTCCTGTATTCAGTTTTGGGCCCCTCACCCCAAAAAGGCCATTGAATGACTCGAGCGTGTCCAGGGAAGGGCAACGGAGCTGGTGCAGGGTCTGGAGCACAGGTCTGCTGGGGAGCGGCTGGGGGAACTGGGGGGGTTCAGTCTGGAGAAGAGGAGGCTGAGGGGAAACCTCATCGCCCTCCACAGGAGGGTGCAGAGAGCTGGGGATGAGCCTCTTTAACCAAGTAGTAAGTGATAGGATAAGAGGGAATGGCCTCAAGTTGCCCCAAGGAAGGTTTAGACTGGATATCAGGAAGTATTTCTTTGCAGAAGGGGCTGTTGGGCGTTGGAATGGGCTGCCCAGGGAGGTGGAGTCCTCATCCCTGGAGGGGTTGAAGAGTTGGGTTGACCCAGCGCTGAGGGATCTGGTGGAGTTGGGAACGGTCAGTGTGAGATTAATGGTTAGACTAGACGATCTTCAAGGTCTTTTCCAACTGAGATGATTCTGTGATTCTGTGAACTGGAACATGAGTCTGATTTTAGAGGGTAATTTTTCATTACAGGCATTGATGATTACTTTGTATTCTATTTCTGACAGAAAATCACCATAAATTTGTAAAAGAAAAATGCCCTCCTGATCGAGTTTTTTATTTTTAAAAGCAGTGACCTTAAAAAAACCTTAACAACTCCTCCCCCCACAAATCACACCACCACAAATTGCTAACTAGTTCCAACAGACCCAGGTCTAAGAAGCATCTTGAAATATACCTTGCATTTAAATTTTCATAGATTGCACGCCTCTTGCTTTTTATAAGGACATGTTTAATAATGAGCAAACACATCAGCTGAGTATTCAGAGGAAAATAATCAGAAAATCAAGCATTGCATAAAATAACTGCAGAAAGCATCGTTTGCTGCGTGTCACGGCCTGACAAAACAGACCAGGATTATGTAACACTTACATGCACCACCTCAATAAACTTGTTCAATAATGACAATCAAAAAGAGGTAATCAAGGATTTTTATTTTCTTCTTTCATTTTTAGTAATCTTCGCTGTTGTTTCTAACAATGTAATAAAACCTTGCAATGAGCTCTAATAATGTTAATCTGCATGTTTGAAAGAACAATTAACTTAAATGTAATGCCGCAAGAGAAGAACGATAGTAAACATATTATTTTCCAATAGAAAAATGGCTTATAAGTTGACAGGTTTCTTGTCAAGTTTACAAATTTTTGACAGCTGTCAGATGGGAACTGTAATATTCATTAAGTATTTAACCTACTTATAAAATCATAGAAACCTTCAGGTTGTAAAAGACTTTTGGAGATCATCTGACCCAATCTTCTGCTCAGAATCAGACTAACTTCTAAGTTAGGTCTAATTTCTCAGAGCCTTGTCCAGTCAAGGGTTGAATTTCTCCAAGGACAGAGGTTCCTCAGCCTCTCTGGGCAAACTGTTCCAGGAATTAATTATTCTCCCTGGACATGTCATTGTGTCCTAGGTCTTCCTTCTCTTACAGTTTAAACTTAAATATGGTAAGAATGTTGCTTCTTTTGTCTATACTGACACTCAGTTGACTTTTGACAGGTTTGCCTTGGTAACAGTTTATTTTGTGACCAGTAATAATTTTGCACTAAACTGTTTTTGTCTTTAAGAGGCGTGGAGGGACTGAGAGTAAGCAATTATTTATTCAGTATAAATCAGAAACTATGTAAAGCACAAGTGACTCCAGGACTGCTGCTCTAGTTTGAATGGTCTTGATCTTAAGAAAGCTCCGGAGACACACATTCTAGACTCAAGCCCAAATCTTCAATAACTAAGGAAAAAAAGAAAAAGTAGTATCTAATAAAAAGTCTGCTGTTTCAGCTTGTGCTAGTGTTATGCCAGCTTGCATATGGTTAAATGATCTTGTCCTACTGCAATATATAGTGAGATTTTAAAAGATGACTCACACTTAAGGCAAATGACACAACCACTGCAGTCCTCACATTTTCATCTTTGTATAATTAATCAGCTGTTCATCTGAACAGTTGAAAGGATAAACTTATACAAACATAATTTCATCTCTCTTGCTAAGTATTTTCCTGTATCAAGTCTCTATTCTGATACAAATCTATTGAATATTGACTTATGTTGACCTCATCTGAAATGAGAAAGAACATAGGGGTCCCAAAGGAACCCAGCATACAAGTGAACTAAGGTTCACTGTCATACAGCAAGGAAGGGACTCTTAAGCAGACGTTTACTTATGCTGCTAAAAGGGGATGACAGATAAAGACATGAGTTAGGCTCAATGTTTGGTTTTATATGATTAGCACAGTATTTTTTTTTTTAATTCAGCACCATTAAATTCATTATACATATCAATTATATGTAAATATTATATATACATATGTGTACTTTACAGATCTGGCATTCTAATGTGTATGTTCAATTTAGGTAAAGAGCAGTATTAAAAAAACTTGAAGCATTTAACAGTGTCGAAGCATTTTCAGAAGTAAAATAGATTTTGAATACTTTTGAAAAAGTATTATGGAAAAGTGATCTTAATTAAGGAAAACACCTACAATCTTCCTGAGGAAGACATGTGCATGAGGAAATCCTCACCAACAGGACATGTGTCCCGGAAACCCCTCATCTTCTTCAAGATTTTATCCTTTATTAAGGGTAACGAACCTCTAAGAGCCCTGTAAGTATGAAGTCCTGTATAATCTTCAGCAACTAGACAATGTGACTTTCCCATATAAGTAGCGTCACAGCTATCCTATTAAGATACAGTAGAATGTAGAGCTTTAATGCTTTATAAGCAATTTTGAACTTGACTGATTTATCTGATAGTAATTGGCTGCATATTCACAAACAGAAGTTATGTAAAACCACGGACTTCACATTATTACCTTTTATCAGAAGTTGCACTGAATTTACTCGTGAAAGAGCATTAGACATTCTCAAGTTCAACAGTAGTCACTAATAAGTTAGGATGGCAGCTGTTGTACATCTGAAGCTAACAAATGTTATGTGACCAGAGATGACTGGCATGACATGTGGCTGTAGCCTTTTTATACAGTTATGTTCTCAACTATTTTAAAAATGTCCACAAAAGTCCTTCAGAAATACTGTTCCCAAGAAGATCATGGAAAAACGATCCTTTAATATTTACCCCACTCAGTTGCATATATTCACACATTATCACAGAGCAATAAACTAAAAGTTTAAACAAAAATAGTAATACAAATTATTCATCTGGAAGTCATGTTCTCAGCACTGTGACTTGAGGCTGGATTCATTGCTTGAAAGTACAGGGCATATATTAAATTTCCAGCAATCAATTATCATTTCAGCCTTTGTATCTGTGATCATAAATTCAGGCACATGCCCATATGGACAGACAAAGTGCAAAGACAGAACTGTCTTCCAGGAAAATTCCAAAAGCAAGTGTGAAGTCAGTATTGAAATATCACTCCCTTTTCTGTCTTCATTCTCAAGCAGTACAGGCACTTTTAATCTATCTAATATCTTCCCAGTCTTCCTGGAACTTTTACCTTCATAATGTTTATATTGACAAAAAGCACTGCTATCACTTTATGTCCATCCCAGGTACCTACACACAAACGTACTCACTCTAAGGATTTAGAGAGTTCCAACAGAGAAGAATTTCCAAAAATGCAATTGATTTTATCTACTTATTTCATGCACAGGAAGAATCCATTTCCCAGCATGGTTCTGGTTATGTCACAATTTCTTTTGCCATTAGTGTTTTGCTAGAGTTTTTAGATTTAATAGATTTCGAAAAAGCTTTTTCTAGGGAAAAGTTGTTACCTTTGCTTTTTATTTTTATCTTCTAGTACCTAAATTTACAGTGACTACATTAAATTTTTATACTTTAAAAAAAGTCATATGAATATTTTAGTATTTAATAACTCTGAGACTGGGTCGGTTTCATATATACCCTATTTGTTATAATTCTGCATGAACTGACCTTTAAAGACAGGAGTTAACAGATTTTCTTCCCTGATAGGAGAAATACAATTGGAAAACCAGAACAAAGTTTCTAGCCATCAATTTCTTCCTGTGTTCTTAGGAGAGGGTTTTGCTATACAGAATGAGGGCCTGAGAGGTTTTAGGCATTTGTTGAGTTACTTTGAATTAGGCTTGACCTAAAACATCATTATATAGCCATGACAGAGAGGATTAAAATAAAAATGTTAGCATAATACTAGGATTTACTCAAACATAAAACAGAATCACTACCTTACTCCAAGTAATTGCCAGTGGAAAAAAAAAACCCAAGCAGTATGACCATAACTTTAGATTGCTTTTTAACAGTCTTTATATTAGTGCAATACCTGGGATTGTATCTTCAGAGGTGAGAGAGTATGGTCACATACTTGGGACTAGACCATTTAATGGTACAAATAACAAAAGGGTTAAGTATGTTGGGGTAGAGTCCTCCCTTCACACTCAAAAAAGAAAATTTTATACAATTTAAACTTTCAGTTTTCTATGTAATCATGAAAATGTACAATACATCACGTATCAACACTAATATTTGAAAAGTCAAGCACAGACAAAACTTACTGAAAGCATAATAAACAATGAGATTTTAAAATTTCTGCTAATTCTGTCTAAAATAGTAGAGAACTATCTGCAAGTATTACATAATAAGTGAGAATTGAAGAGGAAATTGAAGTGACACCACATCAACAAGGTCTGACCAGTGGAAGAGAATACAGTATGAAATACAACATAAAGACAAAAGGAAAAACATGATTCCATCTGTTACCTGTCATGCGTCCTCATAAAATCCCAGAACTTCTTAGTGCCATTCTGGGGGGGGAAGAAAAAAAAATTCATCAGTAAAATTAATTCCTAGTGAAAAATTACTATAATGAAATGTAACAAAATTTAACAGGCATTTCTTTGAAAACTTGGTATAGCTGGTTTTATTTATGAGACCATTAGTCTGGATTTTGACAGTAAGTATTACAGATGCTGAAAAATGTCTTAGGACAGTTTCAAAATCATAAATCCACAATATTATGCTGACAGCTAATTTAAGACTGTGGTAGTCTTCAGGCCCAGTTATTGCCAGAGTACCGACTTCAGATCATTCAGGTGCTAGGAAGCTGTAAGCAGCTGAATTTTAATCAGTAAAATGACCCATAGATCTATATTCTTCCATATCCAGAAATGGTCTTATCTTCGGAGGAGAGCTTACCTCCTAACAACTCATTTGGGATCCAGGAACAAGACATCCTTCCCTCTAACCCCTTACAAGGCCCAAAATAGTAGTTTTGTCCATGATACGCCTAACACGAAGAGATGGCACTCCATTCTACGCGACAGCTGTTACTCTGCACTGCTTGTGGTGGTGAGGATACTGTCTAACAGCAGCCTTCAAGTCACAGCATTTACCCAAGAACTGGGAGACATAAAATGGATTATTTTCCCAAGTTGGGCCAATTTCTGTCCTCTGCTATCTTAATAAGAATGCCATCAACTACAACGCAGTAGAAATTGATCCCTGAGAACGAGCATTCTTCTACAGTTATAATGAACTTGTACCCCATTGCTTACATTTACATTCTATCTTCTATAATCACCTATACCAATTCATACATACCAGTTAACAGATACACGTATATAATTGTTTATCCTGCTTATTAAAGTGTGATGGTATTTATCAGCTAAAATACAACTCAAGAGATTTCACTCATAGGTTAGTTCTAAATATATATAAGGAATCAGTAGGCAACCACTGGAAATTAATTTGGTTGATATCTTTCTTTTATTAGCAAGGGAAAAACTAGACCTGCTGAAAACCTACATACCTAAAATATGCTTCATGTGAAAAGCAGCACAAGCTCTCTATTATAAAGTATGGTTAAATGGATGATCAAACCCTGAGCAACTGGTTAATGATTTAAAGTAGGTAAATGTGAGCAATGAAGGAAGAATCAAGTTCAGTTGGTGGGTAAAGGTGCCAACCAATATAGACAGGCCCTTCAGCTCTATTACAGATGTCATGGCTACCAAGTACACAACAGCTGGTAGGGATTAGATAACAAGCACTCTGGTTCAGAGATTAAGCTCTTGAGCTTTATGAGTTTACGAAGCTTTTTGGAAGAGTGACTGTTTGCTTGCTAGCTGGGTTTTTCTTCATTCCCACAACTCTAATTATAAACAGTTGTTCACCTCAAGAGAAACTCTAGTCTACTCTTCCATTGGTGCCTGTGCATACCTTCTGTTAGCACTGACAGGAATCAAACGTGTGCATTAGAAGAGAAGCCCTGTCATTGTTTAAATGCAACATAACATTGAAGGCGAAATAAAGACAGCAAATTCGCAGTGTGAAGTGAATTATTAAAGCCACTGTTTATCAAGCTGAGAGTATATCAAATCCATTCCACCTGGTGAGAGAAAGAGAGGAACAACTTTGAAAGGACTATGATGCAACATGTAGTTGCAACACTTGAATTTCATAGCATAGGCTAAATTGTAAAATAATTCAAGATATTAGATGTGTAAGGTCTGCTCAATCCTTTTGTAGGGTTATTTGTATCTGTAAGACATGTATTTGTGGGATTTTCTCTTGTTTGCAGACTGCTCTGCATTCATGTGACATGAATGAGTTGGGAAACTGCGGACCACAGATAATGTCTTCTGCATGTACCTTCATATTGTTTCTCCAGTTTCAACCTTCCCCTGCCCCAAATAGTAAGATGTGCTACCATCATCTATTTTTCCCCTTGTAGTGTCCACTTGGGAGAAATGTGGGTGTCCAGCTGATGGAGAAGACAAAAAAGCCTGAATCAAGGCTTCCCCTGCATTAATTTAGGCTATTAGTTCTGTGATACTACTTCCTAACAATCCCAGCAACAATCTTCCTCGCTCTTTCCCCTACCATCATTTTCCAAATTATAGAATCTGATTGCTTTGGAGCACTTATGAAAGGGTTTCAAATAGCTGAGGAAAATTACACCCTAGAGAATCATCCTCATCCAGATGGGATCCATCAGATTTGAATGACCTCTTCTCAAAGATGAGCTCCATTAGCATTAACAGAATCTACCTCACAGACGTGCACATAATTTTTAACAGAAAGTAAGAGAGGGAACTAAAAATAAATTGATCAGAAAATAAAAACTGTATTTTCTATTTTCTAAGTGGCTAGATAGCACATAAAGCACTTTCTCTAGAACATGATTTGATTAGCTTAAGACCCAAATTCAAAACCAGCCACAGGCTAAATAATTTCAGTCAGTCCATTCAAGATGTCAGTTATCATCATATACTCTGACTAACAATGTTTGTTAAGCTATTTTCTGCCTATATTTGAATAAAAAAATTATTTCATATGATCAACCTGCACCTGTCCAAATACATAAATCAATAAACAAATGAAACATTCCAACATCTCATTGTTTACAGTGGCAGAAACTCAAATGAGCCCCATTCATGCCCTATTGTCCAAGTCAGATGTAATTTGAACCCAACCGTATGAGTTGAGTTTCTATTGTACCCAATGCGTGGTTCTTTCCTAACAGACTAGTATGAAGGTTGCTAATTATTAATAGCATGTAAACAGTTACCAATGGTTCTTATGCTGCTTTACATACTTTACAGAACATTAATTCTAACCAGTTCCTAACCAACTATATCAAGCTATATGTAATATATCTTGAGACAAAAATATTAATTGCTGAAACTGATCACGATTCATGCTTTTAAAAACCAAGAAGCCATGATCACTCGTTAAACTGTTCCATTCCATATATCCTGGCCTTTGACAATGCTCTCCTATCACCACAATTACAGATCGTTGGAAATAATTAAAGGTATCAATGGTCAACATCACTCCCAAAAAAGAGAAGTATCTTTGTGAAATACAAAAGCTCTCTAAAACCCTTAACTTCTTCTTTTTAATAAACATTTATATTTCCATTATTATAAAACAGTCCATTCTCCAGTGTCTAATAAGGGACAATGAAAGTATCTCTCAATGAAGTGAAAGAAATAAGTCTAATTGATTGCTAGGAGATATAAACACTGACAACAGGAAGGACAAATTAGTATATTAATACATTTGAGAAAGATTAAAAATATTATTCATCAAATAGGAAATATGTCCTGTGCAGTTTTATGAAGACAAATATGTCAAAAGTATTTTATGTTAGTTTTTATCTGTTCAGAACAGCAGTTCTGATGCTGCAATAACCTTGTATAACACATACTTGATTTGGCAAATCTTTAATCACAAAGTAATCACACTCTGGTTCTGTGCTCAGTGATCAGGTTCTGTGATGTTGCAATGCTGAACTAGTGCATATAGTATGTGTAAATTAATAAAGCTGTATTCCAGGAGAGACAGCATGTGAGACATCATCGTTTCATGTTACACAGCGGACAGATTACTCACATAAGAACAAATTGCATAAGAATGCTATATCAAGTCAGATGAGATGTCCGTCTTGCTGCCTCTAACAGCAAAAGGAAAATTTAAAACACAAGAAGCATCCAGCAATGCTTCCTCAGAATACTCTTGCAAGTACTCTGACAAAAGGCAGTCAAAGGGTGCCAAAAGACAATCCCTGAAAAAGACATCCAAATAAAACGCAGTCCGACCCCGACAAGCAAGCACAAGTGGCCATTTCTAAACTATTTGAACATGCAATAGTGTATCCTAAGTCCTGCTCATCTTGTCTTTAAGACTGACTTGATAATGGCATTGACAACTTAGAATTACAACAGTATGCTACCAGCTTGACAGCCTGCACAAGGATAACTCAATCCTTTTCAGTTCAAGTGATTCCAGGACAACCATGCACCGCAAAGAGATCTCTGCTAGACAAGTGTTGACAGTGGATGCAAGTTCAGCAGATGTGACTCCTACCAGCAGAGAGCTGTTTATGATGCCACCCATACTTGATCTCTACATTCTCTGTCCTGCTTCCATCCTTGAAATCATTTTCCTAAGACTCTTCCTGCACCTGCTCATTGCTATAATTACAAGCAGGAGCCTGTTCACACCGTCTGTTATGGATAAGTTGGACTTGTTTGCAGCTTATAATCAAAACACCATTCTTTTTCCCACCTACACTCTCTCTGTCTCTGGCTAAAATGCTTAAAGAATCAGTGTACCGGTGACACCGCTGTCCTTCGCTTTTCTCCACTACGTTTGGCAATATAGTCTGAACAACATGGTCAAATTGCTGTCAGGATACCTTCACAAAGGATCACTTTGTCTTACTAAAGAAACTTGCCTTAGACTTGGCCCAGGCTACCCAGAAAAGAAGATAAAAAATACATGCTATGCACTGGCACTGATCTTATGGTGATACTTGGGTGTGCTTCAGATGTGACAGACCCTGGCCACACTCTGACACAAGTCGCCTGCGAGTTTCCCTCTACTCGTCTTTTGGAGCACCCCAAATGCCTTCCTCCCTCCTTACCCTGAGGGCAGCACCCATACATTCCTGCCACCTGAGAAGCTCATGAGCCAGCTTATATGTCAGGTAAATGTGTCTCCACACATGCCAACACTCAGCTCAGTGTTACACTGCTACCATCCTGGGTGTTCAAAAAACTCCCAGCTAACCAAACCAAAGCCCCCTCAGTTTGGCTGTGGTCTCTACTGTTGTGTACAGCCCTGCTGGGGCTCACAACAATTTCTCTGTAGATGCAGCTTTTTCAAATGGAGGGAATATGTACTTAAACACAATTTTAGAAAGAGAGATGTAGGCCTTTCCTCAAGCACCATCTCTAAGGACCCTTCCAAAGAATGGGATCTGTTTATAAATAATGGAAGTGAATTAGAGCCGAGGTGC